AAAAAAAAAAAAGCATGCGCACTGAGGAACTTGAGCGCCTGCGCTGCCATGATGGAGGGGGGAATGGCGCCCGGCGCCTGCGCAGTGGAGGCTCCTTCCGTCTTTCCTAGGACCCTTCTTCGGCCCTTGGTGCTATCACAAGAGTGCGGTTTGCGTCCTGTGCTCTTGCGAATTAGGCCTAGGATTTCCATTCATAAGTATCTCGTACGTAGAGTTAAAATTATTCAACCAACTTAACAATAAACCTTAATTATATATTTTCTTTTTCTTTCTTTGTCTGCACCTTGTACGACTTGTCTTGTTGATCATTGGTGTTCCCCAAGTGCGGAGTGCATCCTACAGCGATTCTGCTGTGCTTTTAAACGAACACCCTGGTTTCAGTGTTTGGCTTCGCCCACGTTATTTCTGAAAGTCCTCATATTGCTTAGAAGCAGATACATTTTTGTTGTTGTTGTTGAACTTTTTTTCTTTTCTATTTTTCTGCATCTTTGCTGATACCTGTGTGAACCTTGCCAATTGTTTTTGTTTTTGCTTGTGGGTTATCAGTTTTTTTTTTTTTTTGGTTGATGGGTGCTCTAGTGTAGGCGAAATGGGAAAAAAAATGCTTTGTAACTGTGAACTTACAAATCTACAGATTCCTTGTATGCACAAGGGGCAGATGGGACTACTCTGATACTTAAAATGTAATACATAGATTTGCAAGATTGGGGTTGAAGACTTGAGGAAATCTTGCCAAAAGCATATAAATTTAACTGGGATACTCCAGTGTCACACATTAGGAAAAGCTGCATACATATCATTGCCATGAAATAATTGAAATAGTAGGGAATTTTGGATGGTTGCAATGGTGAAGCCATTTTTATGTATTGACAGCAAGCTATTCAATATTGCATAACAAGGGCAATGACTCATGCAAGAAATAAGTGATCCTGTTTCTCTTCACATCTCATTTTTCCTGTACTTGCTTTTTATGATTACAGACACCGTTACTTTTTATCTTGGTCTTTTAATAAAGATAAGCTTGGCAACCTAGTACTAGTAGGGAGTTATCCAATAGCTACACCTGCACAAGGAAAGACGGGGATGGGAATTAAGCCACAATTAATTTTCATGTCAACAAATATCTTTGTGTTTCATTCTTAGTCTGATAGATTGTATGAATTGAGTTTTCCAATGTATTAAAGTCTTCTAATTTTGCCACGTTTGTATTTTGAGTAAAAACTGTTTTCATGCTTGGAGTCGGCTCTTAGGGGGTTCACTTCAAGAGAACTGCAGCCAGCAGCTCAGGCTGGCTGCGGGTCGTGAGGAAATCCACGCTCCAGCTTCACGGGCCGCCCTCTCCGCAGCGCTTCGTCAGGCGGGACTGCCTCGTTTTTGGGATGCGCGACACGCACCTCCTCAAGGGCGCAGGGATACGAGGCGGGATGAGGGAGGCGCCCGTTGCTGCCCTCCTCGCTGCCACGCGGGGGGCGGAGGCGAAATGGCGGCGTGGGGCGGGCGCAGGCGAGATGGCGGCGGGAGGCAGGGCGGGAGGGTCCGGGCGCCGCCCGCGGGACC